GCCCGGAGCGGGAAGTGTCAAGCGGCAGCCGGGTTCCCCCGTCTTCGCCGCCACCTCTGCACCCGGACCCCAGACCGAGGCCCGGGCCCAGCCGCCATGACGAACGGTGAGAGTCAACGCCCGGGGCGGGAGGTGGGAGTGAAGGATGGGGGAAAACTGGCAGGCAGAGCCGGAACTTGACGTGGCGGTTCTCCCCGCCCCTTGCCAGCCCGGCCCCAGTTGGCCTCTCGGCGCCCCTAAGTCCTGTCCTTGTACCTTTAGCGGGGTTCCCCCTTCGCGTACACATCTAGGGTCTCCGGTGCCGCTCGAGCGCACCCCGCGAGCCCTCGGTCTCTACCTTTGCATTCCTTTTCTCGTTCCTACAAGTTCTGGCCCTGGGGAAGGCCAGTTCTCGTAGAACTCCTGCTGTTGAACCCAGGGAAGAGGGGATCCCACTCCGGCCCCCTAGGTCCTCAGACTTTCGGACGGTAGGCGTGTTGACAGGAGTATATCAGGCCCCGTACCACGAGGGGAGTGCGTGTGACTGTAGACCTCTCGCCTAAAAAGTTCTTGTTTTGAAAAAAATACTGTAAAGTCTTCTCTTGTTTGATTCTAAAGCCCTGGGAGGGTAATCCCTGTGGATACCCTGGCTGGTGTTGCAAGGGATGAATTTAGACACTGCCTCCTAAGTGAAATGGCAGTTACTACCCTGTTTATCTGACCTAATTCCTTTTCAACACTTTGTAGAGGGGATTTCCAAATTCCAGGGGAGGGAAAGAAGCAGATTTTTATAGTCTTTAGAATCAGACTTAACAGGAAAGGAGAGAAGAAAACCTGAGGCAGTATGAGGGGCACAGGAAAGCATTTTTCAAAAGTACTTGTCCACAGGCCTGGCACTCATAGTTCACCTCCTTGTAAATTTTGACATTGTCTGAAAAAACCTATGGGATAAAAATAGCACATAAAGTATTGTTTCTTATGAAAATTTAGTATATGTATTAATTTATTTGGATCCTTTCTTAGCTGACACTTGCCTGTGAGATCATGTTTTTAAAGACTTACTTAAATTTATTTATTTTAATTTGATCAGAGAGAGAGAGAGAGAAAGCAAGCTGCCAGGTCCGAAACTCAAACCGTGTTCAGCCCCATGAGAATCCAGAGTCCTTAACCATCATGTCATCTGTCACCCCCTGTGAAATGGTTTTACTGAGTGATAGTGTGGTCTGGATGTAGAAGACAACTATATACAGTACCCATTTGGAGGTTCCTGGACAGTCATGTGGCCCAGGATACTAGGCATAGTAAGAGAAAGGACATCACTCAGGAAGAAATGCTCTGAATCAGAAATAAGTAATAAGTGAGCATCCAAAGGAAAAAAAGAAAAAAGAAAAAAGCGAACAGCCTGACACAGCAACTTCACCTACCCTCTTTTGGAGTCCAATATCTTTTTTCTTCTTCTTTTTTTTTTTTTTTTTTTGCAGTTAGGTGATTCATTGTGCCTATCTGTACAAGAAATAGCTTGGTTTATATATGTAAGAACTAGAACTAAGAGTTTAAAGCTTTCCACTGTGTCAAAGTCTTAGGGTTTGTTTTTTTTGTCTTTGTTTTTGTTTTTTAAGGTTTTGCTATAGGGCATGTGCCCTTGCTGGAGACAGACAGAGACACTCCCCTCCCCCCAATGGCCATGCTGCGGTCTGTTCTCCATGACACTCCCCTCTCCCCAATGGCCATGCTGCGGTCTGTTCTCCATTCTCCTCTCGGGATTTTTGATCATGAGTGCACATGCACCCGGTGTGATTGTCAAGCTGTCGGGTCTAGGACTCAACTGTGCTCGGCTTTGTGGGAGTCCAGTCCAGTGCCCTAACCACCACACCACCTCCTGGCTGCCCAGAATTTTTTTTCCCAGCAAGAAATTTGTTATGCTGGGAGAAATTTACTTTGTAAGTAGTGTACATGAAGAAAAATTGTAGTCATATGAATTTAACTCTTGCAACTTCCATTAAGCTATATATAGTATATATAGTGTATATATATATATATAGTACATATAACATATAGCTCTCTCTATATATTATATACCATACACGGTATAGTATATAGTATATGGTATAATGTGTGTGTGTGTGTGTGTGTGTGTATATTAGCCAGAGAGTACCTCCATTGGCCGGAGACAGACAGACAGAGGGAGAAATCACCCCATGGGGCATGGTCATGTAGCAGTCCCTTCTCCAGTTCTCCACCTGTCAGGATTTGGGGCTTGCACGCACAGGCAATTGGGCATGTTTTTAAGCCATGGGGTCTGGACTTGAACCGTGCAGTAGAGTAGGCCTTGTGGGATCCAGCCACTTTAACTGCTAGGCCATGAACTGGCCCAATTAAGCTTTACTTTTTGTCTTAACATACCCTTGCCTTAACACACACATATGAGAGACTTAACTAATTATTGAGCTCTCTCTTATCACATGAGGATTTATAACAAGAATGTTTAATTCCCTGGTCTCATGCTCCAAGAATTTGTGTGTGTCTCAACCAGTCGCAAACACTGGTCTTTCCTGACGGGCAGATTCCACATAAACTGTCGTCTGCCCAGGATTTCTGGTTTTTGAAAGGGCAGGGGAGGTGGCACTGAAACTGCTGTGAGGGGACAGTAAGGTAAGGTAACCTAGTTAATCCCAGGACTTGGCACTCTCTCGTCAAGCGTTGGCACTGCAGGTCTATCATCTTATAAAGTATCATCCTCGGGTAGGATCATCTGTCCTAAGCTACTTCAGCTCCAAAGGTTTTCCTTTCTTCTTTGTGCAACAGTGTATTCCTTGGATGGGATTTTGGTGTTCGGGCTCCTCTTTGTTTGCTTCTGTGCCTTTTTCAAGAAAGTACCTCGGCTTAAAACCTGGCTGCTATCAGAGAAGAAAGGAGTTTGGGGTGTGTTTTACAAAGGTAAGGTCATACCTGGGGAGAGGACATTGCCATCTCTGGACAGCGCAGTGCTGCACAGTGGAGGTAGAATGGGCTGGGTTGTACTTGGATCCACTGTTAGAAAAACACCCCACAAGATTGGACCTGAGAGGCTATAAAATTAAATAAATCATTTTCAAAATTGAGAGAAAAAGACAAATATTAAAATTTGCTGTTATTTAAAACATAATTATTTATTTTAGAATCCAAGTAATTGTAGTATTCTCCATGGAGTAAAAGTATACAACCTAGGGGCCAGCAGGTGGCATGGTGGAGGAGTAAAAGTATACAACCTAGGGGCCAGCAAGTGGCATGGTGGTTGGGGCGCTGGACTACCACATGACCCATGGTTCAAGTCTCAGACCTGGCAGCTTTCTGCAGCTTGTTTTCTCACTTTCCCATTCTCTCTCTCTGGTCAAATTAAATAATAATCAGGCCCAGCAGTTGGCATAATGGCTATGTCGCTGGACTCCTATGTAGTTGACCATGGTTCGAGTCCTGGACCTGGTGGCTTAAACTCACACTGGGCATGTGTGCGTGTGTGCCCAAGATCCCGAGAGGAGAATGGAGGAGAAGGGATTGCAGCGTGGCCATCCCCCCGGGGGGGTGATTTCTCACTTTCTGTCTCTCTGTCTCTCTCTGTCTTCCTGGCGAGCGCACATGCCATATAGCAAAAACCTCTCAAAAAAAAAAATTAAAGTTAAATAAATAATTCTCTTTAAAAAAGTATACAACTTTATTCTGAACTGAAATTCTTCCCTTCAGTGGGAGGGATATTTCCCCACCGAAAATTTTTCTGATTTTCTGTAAAGAATACATTGAGATTTCATGCCAGCCCCATGATTTGGTAGTTAAGGCAGCCAGATCCCACCTGGCCAACCATGTGGTTCAAGTCACTCACCGGTAGCTTGAGAAACTTGGTGGGTACGAGTGGATACATACCCAAAATCCCAAAAGAAGAGAGAAATGGAAAAGGAATTGTGGAATTGTGGCGTGACCTTCCTCATGGCAGGAGTACTTTCTCTTCTCCCTGTCTCTGCCTCTCTACAAGGGCACACGCCCTCTGCTAATATACATGCGTACATAAAGAATACATTGCAGTCTCTTAAGTTTTTTTTTTTTTTGAGAGGTTTTTGCTATAGGACGCATGTGCTCACCAGAAAGAGAGAGACAGAGAGACAGAAAGCAAGAAATCACCCCCGAAGGGGGATGGCCATGCCACAAGCAATCCCTTCTCCTCCTTTCTCCTCTCAGGATCTTGGGCACGCACACACATGTGCCCGGCATGATTTAAGCCTCCGGGTCTGGGACTCGAACACTTTATGTGTGTGTATATATTATACATATAATTTTTTTTAAGAGAGTTTTTTGGGGACTGGCAAGTGGCATGGTCTTTAAGGGCACTGGAATCCCACATGGCTGACTGCAGTTTGAGTACCAGACCTG